ATATCCATTTCGGAACATGAGAGTATCGCATATTAGTAAGTTTCCAGACCACCCGTGAGGCACCCATGGCTGGTTACTCGTTTTTATTGGGTGTTCACCAATAGCCCTATCGTCCCATATTCGGAATATGAATATAAAATTGAACTAAATCGAAGTTCTCAACAAAATTAAATATGAATATAACATGAGACTTGATAAAAATTCTCAACAATATCAAATGAAAATGAAATATTGCACTTGATAAAAATTATCAGTAGTATAAGGAACTTCAAGGTATGTATATATGTAAGAATGCCATATTCCATCAGTTTTGATTAATCAGTTTGATACAACATATTATTCAGGTCATCAGCCTGAGAGACTCCCCAACAATATGAATAAGATAAGTACTATGGAAATGCTAATAATCTTGAATTTCTGATTGGTAGAGTTTCTCTATAAGTAAGTAAAGTACACGTATGTCCAAGATCATACAGGGTAACCTACTCAATTGAACATTGTTCTGATTGGTTTGGAATCATATCCTCGTGATATTCGACGGAGGATCGCTTTACATTTTTGACAGACAACAACAATGCATTGTCAACAAATCCATTTTCATTGCCGGCGTAAAGGATTATAATTCTTCTGCCCAATCGTATTGAACAACGTCATGAGTGTCGAACCACGTTTCATCTACCCTGAGAAAAACTGGTTAATTAAAACGTCTAGTTGGTATTTTTTTAGTACCGATAATTAAAAATATTTGTAATTTTATCAACAATGACAGCGTATCCTTATTTTCTACAAATGACTTTTCTATTTTTCGCCAATTATTTGTCATCAATAAAAATACTATTTGTGACAGAATTATCACAGTGTTGTCTATTCAGTCAATTTAAATTTCATATTGGGGTTAAAAACCTCATTCTGGGGTTACTAACAACAGCTGACTATTTGCCACAACTGATGACACATTTATCGTGAAAGGTTTATTATTATTCATAGCAGAAACTGTTTGGCCATAACCAATAATTTTAGTTGTACTGCGTCGTTCGGGACCGCCTCGCATCCCTTCGGGACCCACCGGCAAAAATTGCATCTTGCATCTGTTTGTCTCTCTGTTTCATCATTTGAACTTGTATCTTGATAGTGGATAGATCGCACGGTCGTCGAGCTTAGACAAAATAAATAAAATAATTGTCTAGTGTAGCCAGGAGCGTCGTGTTCTTGCTGGTTCACTGCTCTGTGTGATTTCAAATTACTGTTTTGTGTTTTTTTTTGCACATCGCGCTGAGCCATTTGGCATTTGGTTGGCAAAATGATAATTCGCAGTTTACCATCGTTATCTGTGCGTCACTAGTTATCAGGTTTAGGTACCTATTCACAATTCAGTTCAGTTTACGACGGGCGACGGTGAGAAACGTCCAACCGACGTCACGTGTACACGGTGTACATTTATAATTCCCTCCCCTTTTGCTGAGCTGTGGCCTGTGGCACTTACGGTGTGTGGTGTATTTCTGTTCACGATTCCATTGGAAATTGGAAGGAAAATGGCATACAAACTGTTATTATTAGAATGGGGCCTTTATTTTAATTGATATAAAACTATTAAGTTGCCAGAATAACTAAATTATATTTCAAACGTTACTAAATCACTGTTAATAGTGACTACAATTCATTTCAGTCACAATTAAATATTCAATTTGCAACAGCACACTCAATATTAACGTCAGAAGAAATGAGTAATTGCCCCAACTGGGATAATTTGTTGTGATAACAAACATATATTGAAACAGTACTAACAATCTAATTGTCATAACTATGTATCTTGATTGTGGCAAATAAAACTTGGTATTATTCCTTAAAAAGGCTTATTAGTTACCACAACAACGTCGTAGATGACTCAATCAAACTTTTCATTTGAGGCAAATAGGCGTTTCCAGAAAAACAGAATTAGTTATGGCAACAACTAATGCTTGCTGTCCCCTAGCGTACTAAAAAATTTTTCTGTAGTTACTAATTTTTTAGTAACGGCTACAAATTTTTTCCCTCAGTGTAGATTATAGATATATTCGCTCCACGGTATTTCTTTATATTCTACTTAGATATTCTTGCTGATGGTCTACGATGGGTCTTGATTGCATAATCACCATCTTTTTTCCAATTTCTCATGACTGAACCCGCAATCTGTTGAAACATTTCTCAACGTACCTAATGATTTGTGATTATAATCCGCGTATTCATTGAACTCATCCCTGATATCTGGCAATGTTGGCACCTTATTCTCATTATGAAATCTATATACAATTCGACGAATTACTTCTTTCGGAGCATCATCAAGCTTCTTGAGTTTTTGTCTCACTCTTTTTCGTTTAATTTCATGATCTACAACTTCCCCGGCTCTAATAACGCTGTATATGGTGGGTATAGTTCATTTCACTTAATTCCTGTATTCTCTTCACAACTTTGTTGACTTCCTCAAAAGGCTTCCAGAACACAAAACCACTATGATTGAAATAATAAATTCTCTGAATTTCGAGTTGAACCAATGGAGGCCACCTAGCTTGTATCGCACTGCCTAGCGCAGGCTAGAAGATTCTTATCACACAGAAGACTGCCCATGCAACTCTGACCAATCAACATTCAGTATAGTTTGGAGTAACCAATGAGACGCGGTTCCTGGCATGACAGCGCTCGTCCAGTCGACGTTGACTGCACAGGCTGCATACCAAGAAAGCTCAGTGAAAAATATCTCATTCATTAATTTATATCCCAATGTTGAGCGAATTGACAAATCCTCGTATCGTCCTCAAAGACGGAAGTTTTTCAACTGACTTTGCATAAACATTCTTGAGAATTTTTGACAATTTCAATCACCTTGTGTAATGTAGACTTGAGTTATTCCAATTCCAGCCAGGCAAATCAGAAACGAACAAGGGAGAAATGTTGACGAAATGAATATGGACTTGGTGATAATTCTCGAATGGAGAACCAATAACTTGGTAGATTTCAATGCAAACAAAACATAAGCATGCCTTTTCTCTAGATAAGCAGATCTCACTGTCCCAACATAAGCTTGTCAAGAGTAGCTATACCTTTGGAGACATCCAATTCGATGCTTGGGATTTCCTTGGGAAAATTGCTGAAAGTGCATCCCAAAAACTTTTTTCTCTGTTTCGGGCCAGGAGCTATTCAACTTCCAGTCAGCTGCTTATAAGGCACGAATCCGACTTGTCCTGGAATACTGTTCCCATATTTGGAGTGCAGCACCAGAACATACCCTAAAACTGTTGGATTCTGTCCAAAGAAGGGCAATTCGTTTCGTGGGTGATGCCTCGCTCACAAACTCACTCACTTTTCTGGAACACCGTAGGAAAGTTGGCGATCTGGCTCTATTTCATAGATATTTTCATGGACGATGCTCTTCTGAAATATCCACAATTGTTACTTCCTTGGCAGTCCCCGCGAGATTAACCCGTCGAGTTGAGGCTTCGCACCCCTTCGTGGTCACTTTGGAGACCAGCAGAACATCTCTTTTCAAAAACTCGTTCATGCAACGAACAGCGTGGCTCTGGAACACATTGCCAAAGGAGGGGTTTTCCGAGGCATATTACCTCCAGAAATTTGAGGCGAACACCAATTCCATCCATATTTCCTTTGGTTCTCACGATGTTCTCTGAACATTACAGAGGATATTCCTTTTCGTTGGAACCAGAACATAAAATGAGAAAAAGTTGAAAAAAAGGAAAAACGACATGGCTGGCACTATTTCCCGGTTATGAAATAATACCAGTCCATCGCTGTTTTTTTCATTTGATACGTGAGTGGTACTAACAATGTGCTGGTACAATAGTGTATTGCCTATGCATTGTGCAACCGATGGGTATAATCCATTTCTCGGAGATCACTGAAACAGTGCTGGTTGAACGATAAATAAAGGATAAAGGTTCCTCAATGGCATCAAATCATCAATGAATTTACAATGGAATCAGCCTATCAGTCGCATTTTATTGACAGCATTTTTCTGACAATCGCAATTGATGTGTTCTCAATACGTCTTCTATTTTGTTTTTCCTATCCTCTTGCGCTTGAGTCGTCATTTGTTATTGTAAGATGTGAAGGGATCAATATGAATAGGAAGTTGTATGAGTGCATCATTATTCAATCTGATCAAATCGAAATAACGAATGCAGGTCTTTGAAAACTGATATTCTTCTTTGAGAACATTCATCGTGATATGTTGGAGTACCTCTATCATGAAGTTTCAGTCCTAAAAGAAATAAACTTAAACCTTTGTTTCCACCCGACTATTGTTGCAGCAAACTAGGTTATAGGCATTTATGGTTCATAGCTCACTCGAAATTGACAAATAGTTCATCACAGAAGAATAGTTTTCAAGTTCTGGCCATGTTCCAGTTATCATAGAAATCATAATATCAATCAACAGAAACAAAATTCGTGAATTCCTGGCTGATTGAACAGATCAGATGTGGATATATAAATGGATTCTAGGAGTTTTTTTGTAGTAATTATCAATGAGTGTGACAGTGAAATATATCTGGATATTGCGCTGTCATACCCATCCGAAAGTGATAGGAGAGTATGTAATTATGTAGTATACCTAGTTTGGGTATCATATTTTCAGAACTCTGGGAACCATGGCTTGTCTAATGAATTCGTTGATACCTAGTTTATTCTGATGTTAATTGTATGATATAGTTATGTTGACCCTATAGCTGTACTCTCGAAAACAAAAATTCCATTTCAACAAAGACAGGAAACTTCTCGCTATTAGCAATATTATTAGGCGAATAAGAATTCAACAACACTTTCATTCCGTGATAGAAACGTCATGACATGGAATGAAATTGCCCCTCACCCCCGAAAAAGCTTGTTGGATCAGCTGCTGTGGCTATCTATACGACCGCAGGTACGCCACTGGTTATCAAAATTAAAACAACAGAACTCGAAGTGATTACTTTTATTATTCAGGAATATTATGTATCCGTCGCACAAAGACAAGTTTCCTTCAAATTTGTTTTGGTTAACTATACAAATATTCTTCCAGATGAATTTTCTTGATGCCAGACCACAGTTAATCAGTTCGACAACAGAAAAAATTGCCGCGGATCAACCCAGCAAATTTGGAACACAAAACCCAGGATCTGCTCATCGAAATGTATCCTATAGAACCAAAGAAAGGATACTGACCCATAGAAGAAAAGGTAAATGAAACGGTAAATGAAACAATTGTTAGTATACACGGTGTTCGCGAAGGCCCAAACGCCTTGTTTCTCTTTGGCGTTCCTTCTTCCACTTCTTCCATGAACCGATTGGTGTGATGTCGACACAAAAATACTGACAATTGTCTTGAAGTCTTGACATTATCGATCTATAACTCCCATCTATCGGATTATCTCGGTAGGCCATGGAAGTTTCGGTACGGAACATAGCAGAATTGATTTCATTTGTGGTTTTTTTGTATGTTTAGCTTCAACATTGCACGTGGAGATTGATCATTTTGTTAGTGTTTTTTTTTTAATTTTTTGGGACGTGTACGAAAAGAGAATCCTATAATGTTCGTGGAACATCGCGTACCTAGGGATAGGGAGAGGAGGTAAGTTTTTTGAACCTTTGAAGGTTATGAGTTCTTGATAATACTTCCATCGACAAAAAATCACAAAGCTTGATTAGTGTGGATAATCAATCATCTAGTTGCATAGGACTGACTTTATTAAACTTTGGTAGAAGTGCATATATCGCTGAGTATTTTCGAAATTTATATAGCATTTTGGAATATGATGATTGCATTATAATTGTACGTGCTCTTAGATCATGGTGCCCAACATTCGATGAGAACCTCATATTAACTTCCCACTGAACAAGGAACATCCCAGAGTGGTTTGTCTACGTTTCTTTATGGTTCCTATGATGACCTTCCTGAAATACCAGCTCTCAGGAGTGATGATAACATATTTCTGAGACGTTTCAATTTGTTCCTTATCTGGGCTGACTCAGCTACATCAACGCGCTGTTTCGTTACAGCAAACTGACCTATGCACGTCTATGCAAAATATTTCAACGTTTTCTCCAGTGTATTCTCATTTGATTCCCAGAACTTTTTATGTGACGTACTTTTTATAATGTTTTGTGTCTCACAAAGTGTGATTGTGAGTTGGTCAATACGATCAAGTGTGAGTGCGATTTCTGAGAAGGATGGTGAGATAGGTGGGGTGAGTCACCAATATAATAACTTTCATTGTTTATTCAGTATCAGACTTTTTACTGCCTCAATATATTGTAACAGAATTCAGGAATTCAGGAACATGCTTTATTTATGTGATTTGGGGAAACAAAGCCTCGTTGTCAGGTAAACGTATAAATAGAGATATCAATAACGAAATTCGTGATATCAACGTTTCGAAGATTTGTGTGCGAGATTTTGAATCCCTGGGGGAATCTCCCAATTCAGTATTACTGGGTGAGGAAGTGTCCCTGGTTTAGGTATGTGGGATTTGCCCATTTTCTGTATAAAGGTATTATGTTTATGTAAATGTTAGAACTCGAACTCATCTTGGAAATAAACTGTTTGGATCTTGTTATTCGCATCTGATTGCTCAGAACCTTTACAATATTTTGTCAGTCAGATTTTATCGTTATGTTCCTCAGTGAATATACCTCTGAGAGTGCAATTCCTAATTCCTCTCTTGAGTGATATTCTTTGGATTTTGAGGTGAGATCATACAATGAGAAAAATGGATCACACAAGCTTACATGTTTCTTATCGGTGACCGAGATAGCCCATATAGTGTGATTCATGAACATTCACGAGAGCTTTCATCGGAAGATATCAATGTCTTCACGTACTGCATTGTTCACATCAGGTCAACTCTGAATCTGAAACAAAATTTGGGCTCTGAACAGTTCTACTCACTAGACTTATTCTATATTAGAAATGATGGAATGCAAATCTATACTCTGTTTCCCTAGGAAGGCTACATATAAAATTATGAAATACGTAGAATAGTAAATCGCGGAGGAAGGTTAATGATAACAGTTTTTCATCATAACAAAATTTAATATACTTAAGGTGAACATTTCTGAATCTTATATGAGTCTCTGGGATTTCATTCAACCGAGAATAGACACATTGAATGAGGATACAAGAATCAGTTCGTTATTCTTGAAAAGTGTAATGAGAAAGGAAAAATTAACTCTTACACTAGGTTGAAACCCTCTGAGCCACCCTCTGTTCCACGACCGTGTAAATATTGAGAATAAAAACGACATCATCAGGAAAGGAACTGATAGAGGTACCTATGATATGGATATTGGATATGGTGAAGTTGTATGTTTTTGTTATTATTTTATTATGTTAGTGGCCATATAACGACTCCAAAACGGTCTTTAAAGAGGGAATAAGACAAGACCAAATAATTTTATTTCCTCTATACCAATCTTTCTTGTTTTGTAAAACTTTTAATCAAGCTGAGATGGTCTCTTCTGAGACTAAAACATGTCCCTGATTGCTTAGCAACATCATTGAGTTGTGTGGAGATAATTTTGAACTTTCTCTCTTGCCTCAGACTTATTTGACTTTGATGAAAGTGAAAAAATTCAGAGGGTATCGAACCTCCTTTGTAACGTCTGCAATCGTGAAATAGTTATTTGTTTCACTAGGCAGGAAAGTGGTAGATTGACTGCCGCGGCTGATAGTTCATAGCCAAGCGATATGACTACTAGCAGCCAAGAAAGGGTAATAAGTCGGTGGAGCACACCAGAGAAATCAAAAACATCTCACTCAATACCTTGGCAGCGGAATAACGGCTGACAGCTATTAGACACGATTTTTTTCGATAATTGGATTTCTGAATGGTTGCAATGATCGAAATAAAATATGGAAAGCAGCAGCGGAAGTGAGGTTGAAAATGTGCCCCAATGAGAATTCAAATGTTCCTGATTTTATTCCACGATAGTATATTACGTATTATGTAAGAAGCATATTACGCACGAATTACGTACTATATATTACCTCTTGCCTTATAGTGCATCGAAATAGTATATTATGTAACAAGTGTTATAATAAACGTCCTTTTAGAAACGAGTAGTTTAATCACGGGCGGAGCAGAGCGGAGCGTGTGTTTAATAAACGAGTGTCTAGAAGAGTTTATAAACGCTTTACATACTATGATTTTTCTACGAACTCCGAAAATTACATTTACATACCACATACCTGCAATTCCGGCTAACCTACAAAATAATTCGAAAGAAATGGGAATTGAGAACATAATTCAGGCAACTGCATGCAACCAGCGATACACGTATAAGTGATATTGGTTGTAGATGTGTCTAGTCCATTGCTTACTATCCTTTGTTTCACGTTCATTGTCATGCTCAGCGCAGAATAAATAAATTGTTCTCAAAGATGGATGCTTCATTTTTACACTTCTTAGAGATACGCAAGTACCAGAACATTCTCTTCGATTTAACTTTCGTCTACTTTTCGCATATATTTTCAATGATGAATTCTGATACAAACAAATATTGTTTGGATTAGTCTGATTCAAAATTTGAAAATAACAGTTGACAGTTGATACAATTGATAGGCCAGACATGTCTCAAACTACCTACTGAAGCTGTGTTTAATGAACTGCGTTTGTGTGGTAATGTGTTCAAGAAATCGTGTTCCCATCCCAGCAAACATCGTAAGGCGGTAGATAGTCAGGCCCATGGCGAGAACGGCGGGCAAATGTCGATGTCGGCATGCTTCGAAAGGCCCTCCAAATAATTTCGAAGGATTATGTGACGAAGGCAGAATGTACACATACTTATTATAGGACTCTGTTTCCCAGTCGCTAGTTTTCCGCTGTATGTATCCAAGTCAAAGGGCCATCAAAATTTCAACGGAGTGTGCCATTATCACTCACTCAACGTTGGCATCCCTCGCTCGCGTGAGTTTTTATTTTGATCATTTTGCGGTGGTAACAATGATTCAGTATGGCGTATATTGATTTCTTTGTTCATGTTGTCTCAACACTCTCAAAAGAGATTTTAGTACTGTGTTCAGTTATGGTTCAGTTCGTGTTTGATTTTCTTTTGGATTTTTATACAAAATAGAAAGGAATTGAAATAAATACAGAGTGAGTGAGGAACAAACATATATACAAACTTGCACAGCTAAAAAATTCTATTTTAGATAATAATTTAACAAACACCATTGGACAAACAGATGCAATAATAGTTTGGACGTGTTCAGCGGATACACAAGAATATAATAATTGAGGACTATGAAAATGCATGAGCTTTCATTTCATATGAATCGAAACGAAAATCAAAGATAGCTACTTGAAGAAACAGTTATATTTCAATACTGTAGGTATGTATTATAAGGTTATTGCATGTTTTGGATTAGTAGAGAATGAAATCATTCAATCTTTCAGCTACAAAATCATTAACCAGAAGCCCATCAATCACAGATATTAATGAAGAAATCACACAATGATCAAGACTATATGATATGAATTTCTTCATGGTATATGATATCTCACTTCCAGGCAACACTCATTTCAATATGATGAAGAGTAGGGTTCTCCATATCTGGAAATTGTTATCTTGTAGATTGAACTTCATTGTTGACAATAACTTGATCAATATAATAACTGATTACCTACATACCTTTCAAGTTATTCGGTAGGTACATAGGTGATGTAATTTTTGACCTAGAGTTAGCAACTTTTTGAAACAATGAGTATACAGAGTGATACGTAGAACTAGAATTGAGATGTTTGATGTTTCCATAGTTGTGATATGTATTGGTTGTGATCATGGCAATAATATACACACATGGATATTTTCAGTTCTTGTTTTTGTATAGGGTATTTATACTGCTAGTTTCCTGATGGAAATAACTGTGATATCAGAATGCCATCTCAGAGATTTTTATGTAATTATTCAACAACTTCAGGTAAGGAGTGAATTCCACATTTCTGTTTTACCCAGAGGATTCACAAAAAAACTCGGAGACCTCAATTCTGTTTTTTGAAGTTCCACATTTTTTAACCAGTTTGAAAATAAAGAGAGTGATGCAAATCTGAGTGAAAATGAGATACGTTGCTTTCCAAGTGGTGATATAAACTGGAATACCTATCAAAAAACCTATTTTCACTGAGATATATGCATTACCCTGTATATTTTTTGACGAACCTAGTTGAAAAATGGAACATCAAAAAACAGAATACCATGAATATTGAATTCATTCAACCTCGTTAACCAACGGCCCTGAAAAACTTCTTTATTGGGGAAATAAAAATACTCAAGCGGCCAATCAATGGCAGTCTCTGAAAAGTCTCAATCGGGCCGAAGATGTGCCATGAATGCAGTACATTTGAGTACTTGCTTCTGCCCACCAGAAGCCCTGCAACGTAATAAGCGGCATACTGATGGCTCTAGTGAGGCGGTCGGCTGTCGGCCGCCGGGACACGGGCTAGCCGGCCCAATTTAGTTGTACAATAGAGGACCGCTGTTACCGCTCGCCGGCAAGTTTCATTGTACCTTTAGAGGGCCGCAAAAATCATGTTTGCTGGGTTGGTAACGTGTTTGATATTCTGAATAAATCACAGATCGACAATCCGAGATTAATCGATCATTCAGCGTGTTAAATATCCGTACGCTAAATGTCATTTTAGTTATGTGAACAGAAAACAGTTTGAACAAACAGTCCGAATTATAATTCTTGACAGTGAAGTCATCCGCTGTTCACGGTGATTATGCGACCATGACATACCTATACTGGCGGAATAAACGGGAACTGTGCGATGTGCTTTCTGTACGTAAAGAGCTACTTACTGAGGCTGTACCTCGTGTGTTCTTACCTACTTCATATGGTGACCATAAGTAAAGAAATATGGTATGGAAATATGTCTCATCGATTTGTTATTCTACATATTTGTCAAACAAATCGTGTACGCAGCACGTCCAAAAACAGATTTTTTTTGATCTTCAGGACTCGCATTTGGCACGTCCTAGAATGTTGTGTATCAACCAAAAAAATAGTACATTGTTCAACGAGCATAAAATGATAGAGATTTCTCACGAGAATAAAATTTGCAGCATAAGCCGTGTGCAAATGCTGCAATCATTCGAGTGGGCAATAAGCATTCCGTATGAATTATGCACTATAATTGCTTCTCGGTCATAACAGATAACAGCGACATTCTTGATTCCTTTGTCTTGTAGACATCTGATTTCGTCTGAAGTAATGCTCATCTATTTGAAAGAGCTGTCATTGCTTTAGATCTGAAATTCCATGGAAGATAAGTTAATTTCTAAAATGATGACACAATGGAGTCATGGTGATATCAGATTCGGAAACAAAATGATGACATTCGAAGTACCTCATTGATTCATGATTCCAGATTTTCTGGAATTTTCTCTTTTCGTTTCTATAAAATAAAAATATAAATATTATTTGGATTTCACTGAATGTTTCCTTTCCAGACGGTTCCTTCGCTGGACTCTCCGAACAAGACATCATCTTCCCAGACTCCTTCGAGCTGATCTTCGAACCTTTACCAAAGATAGACGGCGCCCCTAAGTGCGCAGACGACAGCACATTCTGTGAAAACATCGACTCGTATCCCTACCACCACCTCAAGGACGTGCTGCAGAAGAACACCCTGTACAAGGAGTTGTTTGGCACTGACGAAGCGCCGGTCGAGATATCCAACAGGGTTGGAGGGGAAGATGACAGGTATGTATGTACGGATGCGTAAATTGGCCAGTGTTGTGTGTATTTTGTCACATTTTTGACATGAAAATCTTTGATTCCGACTATTTATTCTGAAGTCAGAGTTGTTTCTCTGGATTCTGACTCAATTTGATAACTACAGACTTCAACTAGAATTCATACTTTTTTCTTTGAATTCTGACTCTTTTTGAATTCTTTATTTTTTATCTGAAGTCGTGTTACACTTCCTTCATAACGTTACGAAAATACTGCAGAAAACAGAGCTATGCATTATTATTTACCTACTTTTCACTCTCTTTTTCATTGGTTCATAATTGAATTCATCTGTGATGTTTACTACTGGCTATCGATTGGTATTTCTCTGTTCGTTGTTATTGATTCTAACTCTATTTTTGCTGTAAATAAGGAATAATATTGTGATTTTCAGCCTACTAGTTATCGTTATCGCATACCTCTTGGTCAGAATGTTTTGTTTACAAATTTTGGTAGGTAGGTAGTTGGTTCCTGGAATTGTCGCACATGACTGATCCAGTCCACAGGTATTTCGCCAAATTTCATCTTGAATTTCGAGTATCATTCTTGTAATTATTGTTGCCGTTATAGTTCAAAATAAATATCATTGTTATGTAATTATTGTAATTATTGAAAATGTCACTGTTAGCTTGATGACGTTTAGTCTCTATTGACGGTAATGACACTAATGACGGATGATCACTATCTGCGAACCTCTGCACGCATCTTCTCGAATTTTCAACATTGTCATCATGGAACATTGACCCATTGTTCCCTTGCTATCATCACGAATACGGGCTCTTACGGCTCACAATCAGCACCATATCTCGTTATTATATGATGATTTGGCACTCTGTATCTTAACCATTATGTACCTGTTCGTTGATTTGGCACTAATTCCTTGTAAGTATGGGCGTTATAGGTTATGTTACATTGTGATGAAGGGTCGTCGCACGGGAAGAAGATGATGACGTATTTCGCCCCACTATTCAGGTCTACAATGATCCTCAGTTGCGCATGACCGCGTTTGAATATTTGAAGTTTCAAATCCAAACAATAATAACTGGCAATAATATATTCTGACTTGAAATAAATGGTGATTTAATGATATTCCTTCTTTTCTGATGGTCTAGACACCTCTCTTGATATTATCGACATAGTTTTCACTACCATGGTGAGGTAGAAATGCCATGTACAGGGTGTTCGCGGGGATATCTCCCGCCTATAATTTCATATCGTCCGGTGATTGATGTGTGTGGGAGTATAGGAGAAGATACACAAAAAAGGGTGATCTTCCGGTGAGATGTGGCAAGGACAGCCCCTTCGATCTTCATAGGCACCATTTTGTCTGCAGCAGTCTACCAGCCTGGTCACAAAAGTAAGCCGTGGGATCTGTTTCTTGAATAATTTCGAATTTGTCTAACATTCGATTTTCCATTACTTAGTGTTGGGATTAATTAGGAAAAGATCTCAAATTCGGGATATCCATTATCATCGCTGGGATGGGATTCCTGTTGCCTCTATAGAGGGAAATAATATAATTGCAACATGTCATTGATTTAATAGACACTCAGTATAGTTACAAAATATACGCCTGTAAACCAAAAGTGCACTGCGGTAAAAAAGGCCTTATTATTTCTTTTGTCTCATTGATACTGATTTATTGAGTTATTTTGTTGATTAATAAGCTATATATTATCATACTGTCTCAGAGAGTTGATTTTGAGCAGTGATTGTGTTATTTCACACTGATCTGAAGAGTTGATTTCAGTCAGTCAATTTATATTTCTTGTTGTTGCAATAGGTGTACACTGTTTAGGTAATATTGCTATTGATACTCAGTTACTTTGGAAGTCTTGAGCCAACTATAGTATCATTTGGAGCACATTATTTGTCATTTCAGAAATTACTTGTGGTTAAACCCATTTGTCCCGCTGAACTACCAGTGTCTAGTTTTTACGGTATCAAACTGGGCACTAAAAACACTTTTTCTGTTGTCAATACAATTAAGATTTAAAACACCTAATAAATCTTAGGTAATTCATCCACCAAACTTAGGGGTAAATAAAATTCTATTCCATCTTTTTTTTTACTACTCACCCCCTGAGGTTTAAAGGCATAACAGTCGAACGTTTTTTTTTCTGGATTCAGACTCATTTCTAACGAAACATTTCATCTCTGGATTCGAGGATTTTTTCAGAATCCAGAATTCTTCCTCTGAATCCAAACTTTCTTCTGCTAATCCAGACTCTTGTGTCGGAATTGAGACTTCTTCCTCAGAATTCTGACTTCTGTCACAGAATTCTGACTTGTTTTCCCAAAATCAGACTTTCTTTAGAATTCATGCTTCCTTCTTTGAATTCTGACTTTTTTCCAAATTCGTGATTTTGAATCTGAAGTTAACTCTTTTTCTCTGGACTCTGACCGTTTTCTTATAAAACTTTTCACATATTCCTGGTTCTGAACATATTTTCAGATTTCTAACTTTTCTCACTGAACCCAGACTGTTTTCTTCGAATTCAAATTCTTTTTTTCTCTGAATTCAAACTATTTTTCATGAATTTAGACTTAAGTCTCGAAATTCAGACTTCTCACTCTGAATCATAACGTTTATGAAATCAGACTTTTCTCTCTGAATTCAGCTCTTTTCCAGACTTTGTCTAATAATCCTTCTGAATTCAAACTAATTTTTCAGAATTCCCACTTTCTTCCTCAAATTCTGTCTTTTCCTGATTTTTTTTATTTGGAGTTGAATATTTTTCTCATGATTTGGAAATTCTTCAGAATTCGGACATTTTCCTCTGAATCCAGACATTTTTCTTCGAATTCATATTCCGTCTCAGAATTCTGACTCATTTTTCTTCCTAGAGTCACCTCTTTTTCAGACTTTGTCTAACTATTTCTCTGAATTCAGACTTGTTTTCCGGAATTCAGATTTGTTTTTCTGAATTCAGACTTTTGTACAGGAATTCAGACTTTTCAATTTGAATACAGGTTCTTTCTCTGAACTCAGACTTATTTCTCTGAATCATGACTCATTGACATGACATTTCTCAGAATTCATATCATCTTCTTAGTCTTCTGACTTCATTCTGAATTTTTGATTTTCCATCTGAAGTTGAACTGTTTTTTCTGGATTAGGACTATTTTCTAATGAAACTTTCCATCTCTAGATTCGAAATTTTTTTCAGATTCTTTCTCTGAATCCAGACTATGTTTTCTGAATTCAGACTCTTGTCAACAAATTCAGACTCCTTCCTCTAGAATATAACTTTCCTATCCTAATTCAGATTTACCTCTCTGAATTCAGTCATTTTCCAGACTTTTTCTAATTATTCCTCTGAATTCAAACTTTTTTTTTCTTTTTTTTTCTCTCAATTCAGACTCTCCACTATGAATTCAGACTGTTTCCTTCGACTTTTTTCATATATAATACCACAAGTGATAATATTTTGCCGGAAATATTCGCTGATTGTTACGACAGCTTGTTGCCTAGTAATTTCGTGAATGACATTGTTATCAAAACTACGAGCCGTAGGCGAGTAGTTTTGGATCAATGTCATGAGCGAAATTAGAGCAGCAAGCTGGAGTATGTCAATCGACGAATATTTCCAGGAAAAATAGTATCACGAGTTGTATTCGTATGACATGATTGAATGAGACAATATATATATATGAAATAGGAAACATAATTTAAGTATATTCCAACTCAAACTGCGAAGAAGAACATAATGATAGTGATGAAATACAGAATTCAATCTTTTAGAAATTAACTACCTACTTATAATAATTCACAAAGTGGAATGTACAATTTTGATAAACAGTATTTTGTTTATTATCTTGGAGATGGTTGCTCTCAAAAGAGTGTATACATTTGCTATCCAATTCGAACAAAATAAATTGAATTTATGTGACATGAAATAATTTAAAAAAAAAATTATTGTCGCCGACGGGCTTGAACCACCGACCTTCGTATCACCGAGCAACAACCCTATCAGTTGAGCCACATCACCTGGATTTTATTAGTCACAATAACTCGAGTGACTGAAGAAGATTACTTCAAATGAAAATTTGAATTCTAGTATTGTTGTCAGACCGTCAACAAATATGCAAACTTATTAAATTACACATGAAACGTCCAGCCAAAATGAAATTGTCTCGCCTTTCGTACAAAATGTCTCACTAACGCGAATTATAAGTGAATAAAATGAAGTAGGTACTTAGGTTATTGTCACTTGTGTCAAATTTGAATACAAAGCAATCTCGACCAGACACGATGTCAAAATTTTATCGCTGATAAACGGGGTTTGTTGGTCACGTGTGGGTCAATTCGGCTTCTGTATTGGTAGAGCAAGTTCGACAAAATTTAATAAACAAAAAATATCGCTAGAATACAGAAGAAATCGTGAAAATGATCGATTCTGATTGGTTCTCGAGATCAAGAGTGGAATAGTCAAGAAAAAATCTAAATACTCAGAGATATGTTCGAATTCTGAGGAAGAAGTCTGAATTCGAAAAATAGTCTGATTTCAGGGACCAGTGTGAATTTGAAGAAAAATTACTGGATTCAGAAGAATTACTCTGAATTCAGAGAGAAAAGTCTGGGGTCAGATGAATGTTTTCGATTCAAAGAGAAAAATCTTCTGGATTCAGAAAAAAAATCCGAATTCAGAGAAGAATTGTTAATGAAGGGGGAAAAGTCTGACTTCAAAGGAGAGGAAGTTTGAAAGACAGATTGAATTCAGAAAACAAATTTCGAATTCAGAAAACAGAATTAGAATTCAAGGAATGAGGTCTGAATTCAGAAAAATTTGCCTGATTTCAGACAAAAAAATTTCAAATTCAGAAACGGATGTCTGAAGTCAGGGATGAAATTAAATACACCTAACAGTGGCCTCCCAACGCTTTCGTAGGTATGTGTGTGGTGCTTTCGAGAGGACCATATTTCCTCAGGTGGGGATGAATAAGGATAACAAATGGAAATTCATTATCAACCAAGGAGAGAAGGACGGTTTCGTACAAGGAATTCGCATAGAGACCTGTAGGAAGTGAGTATTACAGGTAGATTTATAGTCTATAATGCAGGGTGATTCACGGTGAATGGTCAATTGGAATTTCGACTTTCTTTCATTGGAAATCAGGACCTCTGAAAATTCTGATATTTGAGTTCAGAAAAACCATGGTATCAAAATTTAGTTTGGAGTGAGATGATACTTGGATGCTTTCCACACTCCAGCATAAACTCATTCACTGCATCACAGGGTTTTTGTAATATACAGTTAATTAGTTTGCTAAGATCACTAGAAGGAATTTCAAAATTTCGAAGTCAAAACCCTGTTAACAGGGTTCTGTCGATTTCTTGGAGAAAGTTTCGCTATTCTCTAAACCTAAACGGTGAAAGATAGACAGTTGATCCTATTACACAACGTGAGTTGAACCTCTTCAATATGTCGTTGTGAAAATTATTTCCAAGAATTTTTCCACGTGATCTGCTATGATAAAATAACATTCCAGGAACGGCTTGAATCTTGTCAAATCACAAAACGGAAAATTGAATGAGTTCAAATTGCGTATTTTCTGAATGATTCGATGAACTTCCTATCTCTTCTCGTTCAGGAAATAGCTATAGCAATACCTTCATTATAAAATCGGATGTATTATTGCAAATTCGAAAAGCTGAAACAAAAAACATCTACTCTCCTGACTATTTGTCACGTGCATTGAATTATATCTGTTGAACATCCAAAAGGGGAACATGAGATATGAAAATCCACTGGAATTGAGAATCGACAATTTCTCAAATCTGATAACTATTATTTCGAAGATAATGGAAAAAGCTATCAACATCGAGCACATGAAATACCTGGAACATTCAGGTATCATCAACTAAAGGCAATATGGCTTTCGTCCTCAGAAATCAACTGGTGACATACTCGCTTACGTGTCACATATATGGCAGCAATCTATTGAAGAATATGTTGAAGCTTCAGCTGTGACACTTGATATCTCCAAGGCATTCGATCGAGTCTGGCACCACGGACTCCTTGCCAAGCTTCCATCTTATGGCTTGCCACCCCAGCTATGTTCTCTGCAAGCTACTTTCTTCTCAAACAGGTCTCTCCCTTTAGTGGTGGTAGGAGTTTCATCTGACATTCTTATCATAAATGCTGGTGTCTCGCAAGGATCAATTCTAGCACCAACACTTTTTTCACTCCATATCGAGGATTTGTTGAAAGCAACTTCATGTTCAGTACACAGCTTCGCGGATGATAGAACCCTCTATACCACTTTCTCTTCCAGGGCTCCAATACCAGCCAGTCAAATCAGAAACAAACAAGGGAGGAATGTTGACAACATAAATATGGACTTGGCAACAATTCTCGAATAGGGATCCAATAACTTGGTAGATTTCAATGCAAACAAAACACAAACATTACTTTTCTCTAGAAAAGCCGATCTCACTGTGCCCAACATGAGCTTGTCAGAAGTAACCATACCTTTGAAAACATCCATTTCGATGCTTGGTATTACTATCAGCAATCACCTTTTCTGGGGAAATCCTGTGACATCAATTGCTAGAAGTGCATCTCAAAAACTTGGTTTTTTGTTTCGGGCCAGGAGCTATTTCACTTCCAGTCAGCTGCTTATGATCTATAAGGCACAGATCCGACCTATCATGAATGCTGGTGTTCCGCAAGGATCAACACTATTTCAACTCCATATCAACGATTTGTTGGGAGCAACTTCATGTTTAGTACACAGCTTCGCGGATGATATGGTACCCTCCATACCACCCTCTCTTCCAGGGCTTCAATACCAGCCAGGCAAATCAGGAACGAACAAGGAAGAAATGTTGACAACATAAATATGGACTTGGCAACAATTCTCGAAAATTCAAGGAGAACGCCGATTTCTACCTCATTTTTCTTGGTCCTCACGATGTTCTCTGAACATGACAGAACATCCCTTTTCGTTGAAGACAACAAAAAACGTTAAAATGTTAGACCCCCGTCATTCCTTGCTCGCACAAGTCTCTTGAAGAGTTTCGAGGGTTGCTCGTGAGGGGGCAACCGATTCTATATATTTTCCTCTTGGAATTGCATTGAATTTACTGAAACTTGAGGATCCGCTATTTGGTCATTCAAATGATGTTCAATTCTGTCTTGCTATTCTCCAACAAATATTGCATAGCTGGCGAATCAATGGCCCATTGATTTATTCGATGACATTCTGCTGGCACCATTTTTCGGTGATCAGAATGTACATGTCCATTGCTCTCTCAATCATATGATACGTATGTTGCACTAATTATGTGCTGGTACAGTAGTGTTTTTCCTATGGATTTATGTGAATCAGGATAACACTACTCCTACGGCATTGGGTATTCAATGTGTATAATCCATTCGGCAAAGATCACTAGAACAGTACTGGTTGAACGATAAATGGAGCATATGGGTTCCTCAATATCATAAATTCTCCAATGAAATGGCAATGATGGACCATCAGACAATCAGTTGCATTTCATTTTGACATAATTCAATCAACATTGGAAAATTTATGTGTTCTCCATAGTTTTTCCATTTTGTTTTTTGTATCCTCTTGCGCATGAGCTGTCGTTGGCGTCATTTGTTGTTGTGAGATGTGAAGTGAACAAGTGAATAGATAGAAAGTTGTATGAGGAGCATCATTATGCAATCTCCTCAAATCGAAATAACGACCCTAACAACACAGGGATGTCCTTGGTATGTCCCTTTTTTGTCTCGCGGTACAAGGACATGATTGGGGCATCCAGGAGATGTCTCGCAGTGGTTGTCTAGTGGATATCCCGCCCGGTACATCCCTAGGTTATCCTATTCGTGTCTCTGGAATATCTGATATCCATTCACATCAGAGTCATTGAATTTCATTCAACTATTGAGTTGAATTTTTTTGAAAATATTTGTTTTTCTTTCGGAAAATAATTGTAATGAAAATAAAGAATAAAGTCTCAGAACTTCATAAGAAATGACCATTTTCCGCAAACAGAAACCGTGAATGCATAATGCCCCTAATCTTTAAATACCCAAGAATGATTATCATCTTGAGACCCTGTATATTGTCGATCTGAATTTGAGAATTTGAGAACTTGAAAAACAATTGCATGACGCCATGTCCAATGATTTCGTTGTGACTCGGTATACAGGGTGGTTCATTTGATGGCTTCAAATGAAGAATATGGATTCTTAGGTAATTTCAACAAAAAATTATGATGATGATATTTATTTTTGTGTCATAACTTCGATACTGTTCTGGACATTATCATGGAATTTGACAAACACCCACTAAGCAGCAATAGGCATTTCTCGATGCAGAAAGTTTTCTTATTATATATACCAGTGGCGTCCGTATGGGTAGCAAACTGTAGATTTTTTCAAACAATTATGGCTCGCCCTCACTTATTCCTATGATAAAAATTATTTTTGAGATTTCCATTCATCTTGCAACAATTTGACGCACCGTTTTCATGCAAAAAAATCAATCCATGTTGACTGATTCAATCTAATGGCATTACTTGATTAAAACACTCTCAACCTACCACATGGCGTTCAGAAGGAGTATGTCAAATTTCATGAAAATATCTAGAACAGTATCGAAGTTGATTAATAAACGATTTTTGCCAAAAATTTAAACACCATATAGTCTATAGCTCGAAAGATGATAGGTTTTTGGCATATGTTCATGTGAACTTTTTTCTCAAAATAAGCTAAGGAACAGTATCCCATATTTTCAACTCTCAATTGAATTACACCCTGTATATACTTCACTTCGATCCAGCCTATTTCGTTTCTCCCACTGCGTTCGACATTCTATCCCAAGGATCATTCACGAATCAGCAATAGCCATAATATTCTTCTTCTTCTTTCTCCAGGCCGGATACACCGTGTGATATAATCGGAGATCTCCCTAATGGCTACGTCACTTCCTGCAAGCAGAAATACGTCTACAGAAGATTGTTGGCTTTGAACGACACAGGAGCTCCAGTTCCGGATTCTTTCAAGATTCCCTCCTCCTGTTGCTGTTCCTACAAGAGGGACTTTGATATCCTCGCAAGATTCGGGTCTGCCGTTAAATCGTCGGGAAAGAAAATCAAAATGGAACAGACGTGAGGTCGGAGTGGAATGCATTATTTAGCGTTTATTATGAAGCTATAGATAGATAGGTGCACGCGGAGTATCACCCCTCAAGAATCTAAAACGTTAGTTTTCGCGGATATCCTGATCGAATATAACCGTTGTGCAGTATCGCTTCATTTTTATTTCCATAGTGGAGTGCGGATTCGTACTCCGCAGCGACCTCAAACGTTGAAGTTATATTGCATTATACACCCAGATAGCACAAGTACATCTAATGGATATACTATGGATATCCATCATGGATATTGTGGATGTCCATAAGATATCCGAAAAAGGCTCTGGTATATCCTATGGACGTCCATAGGAAGTGACAGTGTGACCTCTTTGGATGTCTTAGAGATATTCATTATGGATAAGAGATAGTATACCCTATATATAGAAAAAATCACAAAAACTGGAAAGCACTCACGTCTCACTGCGTTCGAATAATGTATTTGTCAGTTCTTATGCATCATCAATTTTGGACGAATTCGTAGGAATCACTGCCAAATTCACTTCAAATTAATCATATATGAGAACAGATTGACATTATTTGACTATTCCAAGGATGGTAGAATCTATGATCTATAAATAATCATCAGTTCTACCAATCTCGGACTATCTGAGCGATATGCCAGCTCGCGCTGTTTTTGAAAATCACACTAATGATAATAGGGGATAGTGCATCACAATGTGTGCTATCTTTTAGAAGATTCACGCACACTTTTGTGGATCCCCTTCTATTTATTCATCATTTCATTCATTTTATATACTTCATTTGAAATTTCTAGGTATTATTGTTCTATTGTCTCTGTATCTTATAGATATCCTATGGACGTATTCAGGACGTTTGTTTCGGATATCTCGAATACATCAGCAATCGGATATCTTATGGATATACATTTTATGTCCAAGGATATCCCGCCTTGAATAGGATTTGAAATAGATATCCATGAGATATTCTGTGTTAAATGGGCAGTTACCCTCCATTGCTATAGTTTGGGCGATCGAGGCAAAATTATATCTCATTCGATGAATGATATTTCATGAATGACCGTTTGGTTAACACACATGATCGATGCTACTGTGATATAAAAAAATAGACCCACTCGATTTCATTGTATTATATGTTCAAAAGTTATATGCTCATCATTAGACCACGCATCATCCATTGGCAGAGATTGCCAATGAGTCATTGGTGGATTGAAATAGAAACATTATCATTTTGTCATCAATTTTCAGTGTTTTTGTTCGAATTTGGGATTTGTTATTGAATAAATATATTTTTATTGCAATATTTTGATATTTTGATATTTTATTTCGTGGGAATATTGATGTCCAAAGTCATAGTGATGATATCTTTGGTGAATTCCAATTCCTCATGTGCGAACCACCCAAATTCCCCATTGTGGAGTCAGACTCCGCAGCGGCAAACAATGTTCTCTATTAGACGCAACGACTGAAAGATTCAAATGATTTTAATTGATTTTCTGCAAAAACATTCATCCATTTGTTTCTCAAATTAGATATATTACATAGTACAGCTATGTATGTGAAGAACTTGAAAACTAATCGCAGCCAGGCGTAAAGAGGTATATAAATGATGAATTTGGATTCATTCACATTCATAAGTTCATGGTATTTATTGTTTATTTCCATATGAATGAGAGCAAAATTTTTTTCTGTGCTTGATATAATCACTCCTTCAATGCAAAAATATGGACGCAAATAGGGAATGCCAGCTGTTAGAGGTGAAACATTTTAGTCCAATCAACTCTTACTTCCCTCCTTCACATAAGCTTGCCTCATTCAAATATTTTTTCATTGAGTTTCTCGACTACCCCATTTCGATTCGGCCTTCGACAGGAAGATTCGAATGAGTTTCGATGAATAATCATTCTCCATTGGAACATTATGAAGATTTTTTCCGAATGGTATACCAAATTCAGACTTACATTCACCGTCACTATATGTAAAAAAAAACACTATGAGTCCACTTTATGACGCTGCTGTTCAGAGATCAATCTATCATTCTGGCAATCATTCTATACAAAATTCAAAAATTTTTTAAAATTTCAATATCGAAATATATCATAAAATTCCGTCATATCTGGTACAAATACTCTTGAATTTCGAAGTCAAATCTCCATTGCAAATTAGTCAGGGGTTCACAAACTACATTGTTATGACTGTCGTGATTCTTCTTATGAATGTCAAACTGAAAGGAGTTTTGGAATCCGTCCCTCTGAAGATAACATACCTTATCCATATATGATCCTTTATTCACATACATCCTTCGCGAATCTCATTATTTATTTCGGTCATTCTCCTAAGAATAACTCCAATAGGAACATAATACAAAGGTACACGGTTGAATCACAAAAAAGTTTCAGAGATTCAAATGTGCATAGATAACTCAAATATCACTTGTCTCAATGACCAAACCAATTCTGAGAGGAACCATATTTTCCGCTGTTTGGAAATATCTCAATTCAATTTACTTCTTCCATTTGCTAATTCAAAGCCGGTTCTGCGCTTTTGTTCTTCTGATACTTATTCCTCGCACTTCTGATTTCATTGTATAACCATTAGCTTCGTAATGTTCTCATTTTTCCTCTTCTTCGTCAATAAAAAGTTCCGATCGGTTTCCTTAATTCACGCATTTCTTCATCATCTTTGAATTTTGTTCAATTCAATTGATATCAGACCCATTTTCCAACGATTCAGAGTGAATTAGACTAGGGTAGACCTTCCATGGTTCCATGTCATTCATCAACTGTCAGTATGTCAATGTTTACTGTTCCTCTGGTTTCAGCATTTCGATTTGGCTATGGTTATGGAGGAAACCTAATTACGGGTTCAGAGGTTCGTTCCCTTTTCCCCATCAATTATCGAACGCTTGTCTACCGGCGACAGATTAGTAGTTCCTCAGCAGCCAACCCCTTTGGAGAACATCTATCTCCAAAGACTCGTTCATTCAACAAACAGCGGGGCTCTGGAACACATTGCCAATGGAGGTGTTCCCCGAGGCATATAACCTTCATAAATTCGAGAAGAGCACCAATTCCTACCTCATTTTTCTTGGTTCCCACGATGTTCTCTGAACATTACAGGATATCCCTTTCCGTAGAAACTAGAACATTAAAAAAGTTGAAAAAAATGCAGCAAGCTGAAAATGAAACATGGCTGCTCATACAAAGAACTATGTCCTTATGTTGGGTTGATGATTTTCAGTAGCAAGTTGTCGGGTTTGTTAGATAGTGGTGCCAGTGAAACTGTCCTAGGTCAGTAGGGTCGGAGTATTCTGAGGTATTGTCCATTGGAATCATCGTATCCAGTGTCCATATGTACAGTCGCGAATAGGCAAACTTGTGTTTTCTTGGGAACCAAAATTCTTGAGGCTTCAGTAGACCCGTCTCTACCTCATAGTCTCATTCGGGGACTGGATTTTTGACTTACGATGGGTATAGTTTCGGACCATTCTCCCGACGAGTGGAATTTCAGAGATGATTCCGATTCCTGCCCTGATTACGACATTTGTTGCCTATTGGCAGATACCTCTGGCCGAATATTCAAAACCTCTAACTGTTTTTGTTATTTCTGATGAAAAACCATTTTAATCTGGAATAATGTCGATTGGACTTCATAATGCTACGTTCCAAAGATTTGTCGACAGAGTCATTGGTGCAAAATAAGAACAATATATAAATTTGTTTATTTGAATAATAATATCATCTGCTTTCTGATTTACACGAACATCAAAAAATCCTGGAAGGAATGTTGTCTAGGCTGACGGAAGCTGGACTGACCCTCAATTTGAAAAAGTGCAATTTCTGTAAGTCGAAATTGAGCTACCTTGGGTATTTCGTGAATTCGTCCAGACTTCTTATTGAACCTGAGAAAGTCAACGCCATCTTGAAAATCTCCATCCCATAAAATGTCATGGAGTTTCGTCGCATCATCGGACTCACTGCATGGTACCTCATCGGTTCGTTACCGGATTCTTGACGAAGATATGTCCCTTATGTGACCTCACCAAGAAAGGTGAACCATTCATATCCCTAATAGCACACAACGTCCTAGGGACGTCCCAATTTGGTACAATTCAAGTCCGAATGTCCCGGACCAAAAATAAGTGTCCTTGGGACGTCCCATCCCGTACATATCATGCAATGTCCGAGTATGGACGTCCACCGAATGTCCCAGCTGGTACATCATTTCAAATGTCCTAGAAATAGCATCCCCTAGACGTCCCACGTGGTACATATTGTAGAATGTCCATGCAAGGACGTCCTTGGTATGTCCCTGATGGGATATGATTTTAAACGTTCGTTTAGGGACATCCATCGGATGTCCCGAGTAGTACATATTCTGGCTTGACTTCATATCTTATATGATGCGCCTTCTAGACAACCATAAAATGTCCCTGTCAGTACATTCCTTCAAATAACTCTGCACAGACGCCCTTAATATTTCCAGGATCGTATAACATCCTTCGGATGTCCCAATTGGTACGTATACTGTACTCTTCCAATGTCCTAGAAATAACGTCCTATGGACGTCCCAGTCGGTACTTTCAATTTGTTGTCCCTGTGAGGACGTTAACTTACACCTCGCCGACGAATGATTGCTCGTAGGCTATAAGTACTCCTCGTCAATGTCCTTCACGTAAGTCCATTGGACATCCTTGGGAAACTCTTTGGGGACCTTCCACAGACCATCAACTTAACTGGATTTCCTCATCAGTTATGCAAAATCTGGTCCTAGAGGGACCCAGAAAAATTCAAATTCAAGAATAATTCGTACGTCCCTGGGACATCCTATGGACATCCAATTGATATCCCTCAGCGTTGCTGAAAGGTTGTCCTCGATAGTTGTCTCAGGGACGTCCCTCAAGGACGTCCCTATGTGGTCCTCAAGTGGGACATTTGTGCGTCCCACAGACGTCCAATGGACGTCCATGGTACCAAATTCGAACGTCCTATGGACGTCCTGAATGTCCCGACAGGACGTCC